GTCACCCCTACTATGATCCATTTTCCGTGTCGTCAGCATGCTAATCTTGGCTCTCTTGTTCTTCCTTTAACACAGTGATTGCCCTTGAGGGCAAACAGCAGATCAGCATCTCTTTTGAGGGGCCTTAGTGTCTTTGGCTGTGAAATGGACGGGGCCATGTTCCCTTCCTTCTGAAACCTCCACATCTCTGCATGGCTTTGGAACATAGGCAGGAACATGGATGCTAGAGGTGGCGATGGAGCCACCTGAGCTTGCTCACTCGTGTTGCGATGTGCTCCCCTCCCTCGGCTTCACCTCCTCCTCTCTCCAGCCCAGCTCTGCCATCTTGGGTCTTGGCCCCCGATGGTTTATGGAAAGGAATGGAGCTTGGGCCATTCCTACTGGGCTAGGGTAGATGGATCCAGAGACAACCACCTGAATTCAGTCTTTGCAAGTAGATTCCATCTTGACCCCTGAGAGCCATTGACGCAGATGGAGGAGAGGAGTGAAAGCTCACAGCCATGCGACTTTCTTTCAGGGGTGGATGGGGCACATGATATGGTAGTGAGCTCACTGGGCCGGGGTCAGAAGTCCCTCGTTCCACCAACTACCCGTGTGGCCTTGGGGAAGTCCCTTCCCATGCATGAGCTTCTTTCTGGGGTCGCTCCCAGGGCCATCTCTAAGCCTCTTCTGTGCCCACTTGCACCCACAGACCCCCTGCCAGCAGGAACTGGACCAGGTCCTGGAGCGTATTTCCACCATGCGCCTTCCGGATGAGCGGGGCCCTCTGGAGCACCTCTATTCCCTGCACATCCCCAACTGTGACAAGAACGGCCTGTACAACCTCAAACAGGTGAGAAAGGATCTCCCCAAGCCTCTGATGTGCCTCGGTCCTGCCCCACGCACCTGGAACCCTCTGAGGTCTGAGAGCCAAGCTCCCGAGAGCCAGGCCTCCCTCCCTGGCCTCCAGCCTGGCAGAGGCTGATTCCACTTACCAGCTACCCGCCAGCAGTGCTCGGTGTCCAGGTTGGGAGGGAGCCTCTTGGAGAAGAGAGGTGGCTTGCACAGTGCTTCTCAGCCTTGATTGAGCATTCCTTACCTGGCGGTCATTTCTAGGCAGACACCCAGAGACCGCCATTCAGAAGGTTGGGTGGGGACCAAGAGTTTGCATTTCTATCAAGGTGCTAGGGCCTGCTGATGGCGCATAGATCACACTTCCAGAATCGTCGATTTAAATCGCTGACCAAGTAGCCTCTCTGATTGTTAAGGATCTCAGGATGGAGAAATGCCACTCAAAATATTTCTAAAAACCAGGAATTAGAGAACATTGGGGAAGTGTAAGTAAACCACCGGAAACCTTCTCCTCGCCTCCCGCTTTGTTCCGGTGGCTTCTGATCACCGATGTGCACAGATTTCCCCTGGACATTGTCAGTGTTGTTCACATAGCACATAGAGTCTGTAGTGATGACTGTTAGTGGCTGTTCAATATTTGTCACTTGCCTTTTTTCCAGTCCACTCCTTTCCTCCTCCAACTCATCGCCTGGATGGGGAGAACCAGCACATGGATGTGCCTTTCACTCCAGACAGAGAGAAGGCATGGGAGGGGTGGTTGGGAGAAAGGGGTGAGGAGTGTGGACATCCTGTTTTCAAGCAGTGGCGGCTTTGAGCCCTGGTCGCACACGCAGACCTGCTGGGCAGCTTTAAAAACACCGGTGCCTGGGCCACACCTCCAGAGTTTCAGATTTTGTGAGTGGGTAGTTGCTGGGCACTGGGATTTTCAAAAGGTCCCCCGGTGATCCTAGTGGGCAGTCAGGACTGAGGGAGAGGTGGATGTGCAGAGCCAGGAGATGGGGTGCGGGGTTCTGCTGATCCTGAGTGGGGGTGTCTCACTTCCCCACCTCCTTCACAGGGCAGGCACCTTGCCCCTCTCAGTGTCACTCTAGCGTTTACCGCTATTTGTGCAGGTGCCCTCTGAATGTAAGCCAGCTACCTCATGGGGAGCTCAAGAAGAAATAGTGATCTCTTCTAAGCAAACAAACACACAGGCAGTGTGGGTAACTGAAAGGGTTTGTAAGAGTCATTCGTTGATGGCTAGAGCAGGGACCCCAGGGAGAATGCTAGGGTGGGTATGTCAGCGATGGCTCTTACTAGCTGTGCGATGTTGGGCAAGTTCCTTACCCCGCCTGTGCCCCTGTATCATCATCTATACAGTGGTGACATAAAGAGCACTCACACGGTGGCTGTGAGAACAACATGAATATACGTGTTAGATAAAAATTGTAACGAGCAGCATATAGATTGCTGACATGGTGCCTGGCGCCTGGGAACACCTGTGCTACTGTTGCCTTCGACCATTTACAAGCATCTTCATCTCACACTGATTAAACTCCATACTGGACCCCCCAGGAGGGACCTCCCTGCCGCTGGGGGCTGAGTCCTTTCACCACTGAGTGTCCCCAGCAGCCTGGCACATCCAGTGCAGTGCCAGGGCCAGCAGCTTTAGTGTTAGCTGTGCCCAACGTGAGGCTCACCCCTGCCCCCCTGAACAGGAAGCTGCATTTCAGCAAGTCCCCCTGGCGCACAGTGAAGCGGAGACGCACCACCCTGCAGCCCAGCTCAGCGCACAGGCTTGAGCGACATAATGAAAGCTGGCAGCTGCAGGGTGTCCTCCATGGCCTCTTCTCTCTCTTCAGTGCAAGATGGCTGTGAATGGGCAGCGTGGGGAGTGCTGGTGCGTGAACCCCAACACCGGGAAGCTGCTTCAGGGATCCCCTACAGTCCGTGGGGACCCGGAGTGTCATCGCTACTACAATGAGCGGATGCAGTAAACCAGCCGGTGCCTGGCACCCCCCGCCCCCTCTCCGAACACAGGCAGAGAGGAGAATGCTTGGGTGGTGGGTGGGGGAAGGCTTCCCAGGAGTTTAACACATGTATTTATACTGGGAAAGAGACCAGCACCAAGCCTGGCACACCCGCTGCCTTGCCCCTCCCAGTAGGAGAGGCCGCGCCCCCTTCTCAAGTCCCTGCTCGGAGGAAGGGGTGCTGCAGAGGCAGAGCTGGGGTCCAGGTTTGGGAGGGGGAAGAAGACATTTTTATTTTTGAACCCCTGGGTCTCTTTTACTTAAGAATAAAGAAAGGAAAAATAAATTGTGTGTCTTTTGCCTGAGTCTTTGGGGCCCCCCGACTTCTGGGGAAGTGGGAAAGGCCCAGCCTCGGTTTCCCATCATGAAACTGGAAGGAGAAGGATGGGGCAGGAGGAAGGCAGATCTCCCTCCAATGGTCTCGGCCTGTGGGAATTCAAGGTGTGGAGCCCTCACTTGTAACCCCAGGACCCAGTGTCTGCCTGGACCCCCAGCTGAGTCCCTGGCCCCCCACCTCCCCTGGGGTGGGCACTGGGGGAGGAGAGGCGGAGCAGGCGTCTGTCTTCCTCACGCACATTCAGATGATACACCAAAGGGAGAAACACTGGAACTGGGGGCCTCTGGCCCCTCACATGAGAGCTCCCTTTTGTGAGGGGAGATGTCCGTTCAGCCCCCAGGGACGGAGTGGGCTGCTGTGGGCCAGTGCATTCACAGATGCGTTGCCTCCGAATCCAGGGGTGGCTCCCTGAGGGGCCCACGTCACTGGACCTAGAACAGCAAATATTAAAGAGCCCAAGAAGAGACGAGGGCGCCCCCTTTAAGAAGCAGGAATTCCAAGCAGGAGCTCTCCCACACTGTTCTGTTGGGCTCCACCCCCTGGGGTAATTACAGGGGGCCTACTGACTGCCAGTGGGCCATGGGGGAAGGCAGACACTGCCCAACCCTCCTCCCTCCCCCAGCACGTGGTGCAGAGCCCCACTTCCATGTGACCCCCCTCTTCTGGGTCAGGGTCTGAGCCCTTCCTGCCACAGGAGGTGACGGGCAGCTCCGGAGAGGCAGAGGACACCCGGGCCTTACCTGGGTGTGATGAGAAGAAAACCAGGTCCCCCAAAGCGACACATCCCCGCCCACCTTTGGTCTCTTAGCTAGTGGCTGGCCACCTGGGAAGTACATTCATTCAATTAATCTTCATGAATCCACAAATGAGGTGCTATCACTAGCTCCACTTTATAGGTGAGGAAAAGGTCCCTAGCGGTGTCCAAACTCCAGCCCCAGACCTGGAAGTCCCTGACTCCAGAGTGTGCATGCTGCTCAGCCTGGAGTTATACCGCCCCTGTGGGATAATTGGGGGCCTGCAGTGCTTTGGGCCCCTGGTTGGATCTTGGGGTCTGGTTTTCTTTTATCCACTGCTGGGTGCTGGCCACCCCTCTCCTGTCCCCTCAGCTACAGTCAGCAGCTTCTGGCTGCTGTCTTGGGGTTGGTCACCCCCTGTTGGCTCTCTGGGGAAGTGCAGTGCTTAACTTCGGTTAACATTTGAATGACTGAGGGTGCCTCACATCAAATATTTTGATCTGATTGGTCTGAAGTGAAGCCCAGGCAGGTGTTTTATTTTTTAAAGGTTTCCTGGATGATTCTAATGCATAGCCAGGAATGAGGCATGAAAAATGCTGGCGTCAGGAGGCCTGGGTTTGAATCCAGTCGCATTGCTTATTATGCCACTGCTCCGGAGCTATGTCACTTGCCTTCTCTGAGCCTCAGTTTTCTTCATCTCTCTAATGGGGACGAGTTCCACCTCAAATAACAGGGTGGAATCAATGTGAGATGGCAGATGTGAACGTGCTTTGAAAACTATAGAACTGTATGAAACGGGAGGGATATCATGGGATTATTGCTGGGGTCAGCCCTCGTGCCCCATGGTTGCCAGCTTGCTTGGGTCATTTCTGGAACATTTTTGTGAAGTGCTCCTGAGGATGCCACAGTCTTCTGCCCAGTTCCATGTCACTTGCCACAGTTTCCTTGTTTGTGCTCTAAGCCCTCTGAAGGGGTGGATTTAGGGGTGGGGTGGGCTGTGGGTGGGGGTGAGCAGCACCACCACTGTGGCTGTAGCTACCAGAACCACGCTGATGTATAAATGACCTAGAAACCTTTGCGGAGGGAAGGCACAATTGCGCCCATGTATGAAGATGGTTGGCTGGGCAGGGATCTTGGAGATGTCAAGCTATTGCTCACCTTCCAGAACCAGCCTCCTTAAAAGTTTAAAAACTTGGCAGTTGAGAGACACTGGGGTTATACTGTCACCGTGTGGTAGGACAGGAAATTGCAGCTGACTTTACAGGGCCTCCAAGTGTATTTTGCTTAAGAGGTGGTCCCAGGAGTCCACAATGAGTTAACTGGGAATGCTTGTTACACTTGGGGGATCACCGAATTTATTTCAGAGCTAGAACCTTAGGAAGGGACCTGGCAATAAGCATTAAAACATGCCTCTTGGGCTAGTCTAATTTGTAGAATCACCTGATTTCTAGGTGACCTGATTTGTAGGATTCAGGGTAAAATGAAAACACAGAGCCCCTGCTTCAGAAATTATTAAGAATTTCAAGACAGCAGCAGCAGAGCATTAAGCCAAGCACAGGGCCCTGCGTGACTACATAGGTTACACGCCCACAAAGCAGGCCCCGAGCTTGTGCCTCTGAATTTGGAGAATCACCCTGCCGTGACCACATCTGCCAGGTGTGTCTTGAATACTAGCTAACTGTGATGTGGTAGTTGAGAGCAAGGGCTTGGAGGGGAGGCAGCCGTTGAGCAGAATTTGGACTCTCCTACTTATGGCTTATGTGACTGTGGACACCCTTCTGACCTCTGGACTTCATTTATTTCATCGTTAAGTAAGCTTACAGGATGCGCTCAATTTGGGCATGTTGAATTCAAGCTGCCTGGGGGATTTTGGGTGGAGAAGACACCCTTGACTTTCCTGCATCCTCATCTCAACATCCAATTCACGAACAAGTCCCATTGATTCTAGCTCCAAGACATTGTTCATATCCACCCTTGTCTCGCCCCCTCCTCTGTCACCTGTTGAGGGAGAGAGGGGATGGTTGATGGAGGAGGTGGAGGAGCAGCAGGTGGGGGCGGGGAGCAAAGGAAGGGGGCTGTCCTTGGAAACAGGGGGCCTGATTGGGGAGGGAGGAAGCGCATCATGGCGCTTTTGTGGCTAACTCTGTAGGATTTGAGATGGGAAGATGAGGATGGTCTCATAAGTGGTGTTGGTTTTCTCTGACAGGGAGAAGGCAGTATGGGGAGAAGCATGCCAGAGTGCTTACACCTGAGGGGAACGTGGGAGGGAGACAACTCAGGTAGGAGTCCCTAATAGTTCCTCAGGCAGGACTGGAAGCTCACAGGATGGTGGGACTTTCTCCCTCAGGGCTCAGCAGGGCTGTGCAGGAGTGAGGAGATTGCCTGGTGAGGTTTCTCCAGGGCAGGCGAAACCCCCCATAAGTGGAAGCTGTCAGTGGAACCACAGGCTTCAGGGTCCTCAGAGAAGGAAGCAGAGCCAGATGGTCGATGGATCAAACAAATAAATAAACAAACAAAACCACAGACCAGAGATTCCATTGTCCCTTAAGTAAAATGCTAACACTGCCTCCTTGTCCCCCACCACCCATTCCTCTCACCGTAATAGTAGAGTATGATTGGAATGGGAGGGTGGGCTTTTCAGATTTTCCATGTGGAACACTTTAGGTGTCGAGGCTCAGAGTGTGGTTTCAGTGGATGGAGGGGAGACCTGGTAGAGTTGAGGAGTGAAATAGAACCATGTTTCTAGAAATGTTCTATTATAGACATGAGACTCCAGCCCAATCTTACTGGATCATAGGACCCCAGGTGGATGTGTGATCACTAAGGTGCTGTGTGGGTTGTCTAGGGTGGGGGTGGGAGAAGGGGTGGCAGCTGGGAGCCAGAACTCTAGGAGTTCCTAGATGAGGGTGTAAGGGGAGGGAAGGGGGTGGGGGCGGACACAGCAATTGAAGAAGAGTCCTGCCCACGCCTCCTTCAGGCAGAATGTGGGTGACAGCAGGGTGAGCAGCTGCTGGTGAAGAGGCCAGGAGACAGTCCCAGGGCAAGTCCTGTGGGGTGACCCAGTCCAGCATGGCCTTCCTGCACCCTACTCTTCCTGTCACCCCATGGGTCAACACCCATGCAAAGGAAAGTGGGCCAGGCACCAGCTCCTCTCTGCCTCCCAGCCCAGCTTTCACACTCTCACCTTTGCCTTCACTGCTGGGCCTTGGCTGAAGACCGCACGTTTGCAAAGCTGTGTGTGGGTGGAGAGGTCTCAGGGACACAGCGACCCTTGGGAAGGTGTGGGCCCAATGACCAGCAAACCCCCTGGTCGGGCAGGGGCACTCCCAGTTAGTTCACTTGACTTGTGATTCGCAAGGGGCAGAGCACAGGGTTCAGGTGGAGTGGAGAGGCCCCTGTAGGGGGCGGTCAGGGACGCCCACAGAAGTGTGCTGCTATGGGCTCCACAAAGGAAGAGGGCACCTGGGGCTGGGAGAAGAGCCGAGAGGAGAGGGGTCTAGGGGGAACCGCAGCAGGGTGCCTGTGGCAGCAGGACAGGTGGAAACGATGCTCTTTAAACCCCTGAGAGGCTGAAATCAGTCACCAGCCATTTCATAGCTTCTCTCTCCACTGGGCTGGGTAGGAGCAGGAGGTGGGATTTGCCTTGGCCAGAGGTTCCCAGGAGTAAGTGACTGAGGAACATTCTAGAAATGCCTTCCTTAAAATCCTCTCCAAAGAGAAGAGACTCATCATTTGCTTAAGGATAGATTAAGGCCACTTTATTTAATAGCAGGGGCTGAGATTAAATAATAAGAATATCATAGTAATAGCAGTAGCTGAACATGCATTGATATTTGGTATGCATGAACTCATTGAGACAGATTTGAAGGGATGGAGAAGGGGGCCCCCAAGTTCTAGATGGGCCTGGGGTCCCCTGGGTCCTGCCTCTGCCTGGTCGTTTGTCCTTCCCTCTGGATGTGGCCCGAGGAGAGTCCTGGGACCCGGAGGAAGCTGACGCAGGCTAACTGAATGCATCACTTTATTAAATAAATGCTTCGTCACGACAAACGACAAAGATCAGGAGTAACATAAATTATAAGATGAATAAATAGTATACAGCAATCTTCACCTTTTTAAGAAAACGTGAGATCCTCTGTTGTTTTTTTTCTCATTTTTATTTCCTTAGGTACAAAATGCTAAACAGGAGGCGAGTTCTTCCACATTCAGGCGAATTATTTTTCCTGCAATTTTTTTTTCACCACAAACTGGTTTTGTTTGTTGGTTTGTTTATTCATCCTTTTCACCAGTAAAGATTATGAGCATTTGTTTTCTTAAAAAAAAAGTTGAAGACAAAAAATAGGAGAAAATAGAGCTATGGTATGTATGTATGTATGTATCTATGTATGTATGTAAAACTATCGAGAACTACAGTAATATGTGCTGTGGTTACTGCTGTCTAAAAAAACAAAACCAAAAACCAAAAACACAAACCGGTAGGCAACTCGGAATCTGAAGGATCTTGTCTGACAACTGTCTATCCGTGTGGGCTACTGTGTGACGGCGCTGGCGGCGGCAGGTGGGACTCAGGCTGGTGTCCGGGGACCAGAGGAGTGGAGTGAACTCAGCCTCCCACCTCCCCTTCCCCATTCAGAAGGAGCTGAAGAGAGGAGGCCAGAGTCTGTGGAGATGGCTAAGCCATGTACTCCACTAGGAAACCAAGGAAGTATGTTCCAAAAAAGACACAAAAACCTAAGAGAAAAACAAAGTGGAGAAAAGTGCAAAATAGGTCTTGCACTTTAGTGGTTTCAAAAATAAAGACAGTACAACGCCCAGGTTGCTGGCAGGTCAAACCCTGTTCCCTTAGTCCCACCACTTCTTAAAACGTAGCCTCCTTTCTCTTGGAAGCCACAAAAGTCCTCTCTGAGAGCAGAGGGTCCTGCCTCTCCTTGGCCCACTCCTCTCTGAACCCCCATGCTGAGCTGGAGCCTCTAGGGGCTGAGCCCATGGACAGGGAGAACATTGCCTCCTCGTGAGGGGGCCTGGCGGTTGCCATGGCAGCTGGGTGGCTGCTAGAGAGTTAGGTGGTGGAAGAAGGGAGTGCGTTGTGTACATGGCCCACCTCTCCCAGACCCCAGAGGAGGCTGACCCTGCAGGGGTACAGTGGAGACCACCAAAGTGGTTATGGGGACATGGGCGAGGGGAGAAGAGGTGGGACCCCACAGCCTCGGGGTCTCCCTTCCTCCCCGGGTGAGGGTTGAAGTCTCCGGGCCTGTCCAGGCCTGGCTGTCTGAGAAACTTCCTCCCCAGATGCCCTGCCTTGCCAGGGTGGGGAGGGCTCTGGGGGAAGGAGGATCAGTCCTGGCTAGGCCTCCCTCCATCACTGGGACATCAGGTATGGTCTACGCTGCTGGAGTGAGGCAGGAGTCAAAAGGGAGCTGGGATGAGACCTCCTGTTGGGGAAGGTCAACACTTAGACTTGAGGCCATTGAGAAGCTGGAGCTTCAGGCTGCCAGGAGAGCAGTCAGAGGCCAGTAGGCAGCCTGGGATCAAGGAGAAGCCTGCGGCGGGCAGCGCTCCACACCTGCCTCCCTTCCACATGCAGGGGGGACGGCTCTATC